ACCGTTTTACGCGCGGCCGGAAGCGTTGGAAAGCTTATTCAATAATATATAAGACAATGACAAAATATATTTTCTTATATACCTATAAAAATGAGAGAAAAACAATTATACTCAATAATATTTACACGATACACAATATTTATGCGATACACAAAAGTTGAGGTTTATTGGTTGAATTAAGCCAATAAGTGCCAATTATTCACACTTAAAATCAGTACAATTTAGCACTTATCACATGTCTAGGGAGCAGTTCCTAACACAAGTTGAATGGCCTGAGACCATGCCATTTTCTAGAGAGGAGGCGGGTGTAGCTGACGTTGAAGACGTTGAGGATGAGGATGATGATGGTGATGGTGATGATGCTGAGAAGACAGAGTTTGATATTGATGCGGATTAGTTTCTGATGATTATGTTTTTGAGCATGATCTTAAGCTTACTTCCTTGTGTGTCGACAAAATGAAGTTTTCTGTTTAAGCTTTTGATCATTGCTATATTTTGATATTGTTGTATTTTATTTTATTGTTATACACTATCCATGTTAGTTGGACTATTTTGATGATGTATTATGTACCACTTTTGGGTACTTTTGTTGGTGTTTTACACCATGACAATTTGTCTTATAAATTGAATTCTTCAGTTTATGAATGTTCAATTTATTTTATTTTTTTATGGTTGTTTATTTGTTTTGATTTTATGCTTTTTCCTTGATGATGAGTGATGAGAACTTCTAGTTTGGTTGCTATTTTACAAAAAGGTATCTAATGAAGATTCTACCAAGATTGGATGGTGATGATAGGATTTTTAATATGATGAATGAAAGCAAGGTACATGGTTATCGCTTTCTAGAATGTTAGAATGATTAAGAATTTTTTGCTTTGTACAAATGTGTATTCTCGTTTCATTTTACAACTAATTTGAATGCTTGAGTCACTTAGGTCCAAAAGCCACAAATTGTGAGAAACCTCCATTATTTACTAAATGTTTGGATGACTGATAACTTTATTTAATTCGTTCGATTCATGCTTAATCTTTTGATTATTGTGGTTTTGTGGAAGCATTATAAAGGATCAAGGCATTTGTTTATATTGAGCACAATCATATCCAAAAATAACTTACCCGTGAGTATTGAGAATTTGTTAACCCCTTTGAGCCTAATAGATTAGATCCCATTTTAGTGATGAACTTGGTTTGTGTACATATAGAAACTTGAAAGTTTAGTTCATCATTGAATTTTGTGGGTTTCTAAAAATCATTTCTTGAAATCTTTGAACTTTGATCATTGTTATAAATTGATTTCCTTGCCATAAAAAGGAAGGAGCATTCACTTAAGGTTTGATTGTATTCAAGTTAGGGAGAATGAAAGAAAAATTGTAGGTTTCTAAAAATTTTGAAAATTTTCAAACAAGCAAAGAAAAATTGTGAATATGAATGCGAACAAGAAAAGAAAACATGCTTGTTTGAAAGAAAAAAAATAGATAATGCAAATAATTGTGCAAAAGAAAGTTTGAAAAGGATAAGCAAGAGAGAAAAGAGATTGGTGAATGAAGTTGTGATATGTAAATACCTTGTATATGAATGTATCTTTTGATTTGCAACTTTGTTTCATTGGCCTAAGAAATGACCCTTTGTTGTGAAACCCGACCAAGCTACAATCTTACAATCCCTTAGTAATCTTTTGCTTCCATAATTTCTGATATGATTGATTGATGAATGTATGAATTGAATTGTTGTTACCATTGTTTTTCAATTGAGTGTAATTGTCTTGCGGTTGCAAACGCGCAATTTTTTAAAATCATTTTTATGAAGAGGAGTGTTAGAGTAATTCAAGTATGAGAACTAGTTGTTTTGTGATGCATTGCATGATATTTGTTTTAAGAACTAACTTTTTTATACCATTGTTTAATTCTAGGAAGTAGTGAATATTGCTTGTGTGCATTCTTATGTTGAATTTGGACCTTAAATCTTTTCTTGGTTGAATTTTATGCTCGAATAAATCCTCTTGTTTTCATGAGGGGCATATTTTTCTTGAGAACAAGCAAAAATTTAGTTGGGGAGAGTTTATTGAATGCCAAATATGACTTGAAATGAACCATCTTTCTTGGCATTTTTTAACTCATTTCTTAAGTCTTAATTGATTTATTACATGTTCTTGTGTGATTCTTCGATATAATAAACTTTACCTTTGGATTTCTTGATATGTTTGTTATTATGTAGGAATTATGCTTGATTATCAAAGAACAAGACACAAATGAATGGATAAGGAAGCCAAAGAAATAATTAAGAATCCAGGACAAGGAAGCCAAAGAAATGATTAAGAATCCAACAAGTTTGCAGTGCGAGCAAGTAGCAAAGTGAATGCGAGCTCGTAGTGCGAGCTCAAAGCGAGACCAAGGCAAACAGGAAATTTTGGATGGCAGTAGCGAAATGCCTCACTAAAAGCAGTGCGAGGCCTGAGCGAAGAAGTTTGTAGTGCAAAGTCAAAGAATCCTCAGGGGTAGTTTAACTGTTCAGAGGCACTTCATGTGCCTAAAAGTGAAGTTTGCAGTGCAGACGAGAAATTTTTTGTAAAGATATTTATGTACTTTTCTTCCTTTTTGGGGATCATAACCTAAATAACCTCATTTTCCTGAGATAGAAATTAACATTGCCTTAGAGAGAAAAACCCTAAGTTCTTCATTTCTTCATCAAGAAGTGATATTTTACAAGTAGAAGCTGGATTCACATCCTAGATCGATTTGTCATCGTGGATGCACATTCATCTTATATCTTTCATTGTGAAGCAAGCTACCATGGTGATGGGTAGCTAAATCCTTTGTATCAAAGGTAGATGTAGTCTATCTTAACTTGTATGTATTTCTTTTGATCTCTTTGTATGTGAACAAGTTGATGATTAATATATGTCTAATGTTTTTGTTCTTAAAGATCTATTTATGATTTGTATCACTCTAGACATTTATTTTATAAAACTTGATCTAAGATATTCATCTATCAATAAACAAACTCTAGACATAGATTTGTGAATTGATATTTGCTTTGTGTTGATCTTAAAGATTATTGTATTTGTTGTTAGCATGAGGCATCATCTAATGAAGGACATCATCTAATTGCCCTAAAATCAAAGTTGTTTGGAACTATATCTGTGACTGGATTGGTGTGGATTACAATATCGAAACGCAAACTTGTGAACACATGAGATCTTGGATTGATAAAGTGAGGAATAAGATCTCGATTCCAAATGCAATGGGAGTATGAAGTATTGTCTGCTGGAATATTTGGTTTTTTAGAAATCAAATTCTATTTAATGATGAAATTGTGTGATTCGGTTCTGTTGCAACACAGAATTATACTAAATTCTTGGTGGTGGTTACCTAAGAATATGGGCCCTTGTAGTTATTACGATTGGGTAAAATACCCCTAGGTTTACTTGTAAACGTTAGATTGGGTCTTATCATAGTAGACAAATTCAATTTTTTGTAATCGGGTTGGGGTATCCCTAATACTCTACTTTTGAATATAATTCTTCTGCTTATAAAAAAAGAAGGATATAATAATACTCACGACACCGCTGTAGGCAGAGACGGTATTGAGAGGATACATGATTATATTAATCGAAAACAAATTCACATGCTTGATTAATAGAATATATACAAGTTAGGTTGATGAAATCTATCTTTGATATGTTTTGTTAAACAAACATCTTCTAGAATTTACTATTTATTACTAAAATTTGTGACAACTTATAATACCAAATAAACAACTTTTGAAAATCCTACTTAAAACTCTTTGAACTATAGGACGACAAGTGATATCACTACAATCATTATGGAGACGATAAAATTGTTATTCCGAAAAACACTTTTTAATAGTGTCATGAAAATCTTCTCTTAGAGTAGTTGTTGATGTATTTTGAAATACTTTAACTTTGTTTGTGCTCAGAATCAAAGGGTTGGAGATGATGTTTTTTTTTAGTAGTGTGGATTGTTGCGCTTTTAATATTTTTATTTCTCATATGCATTTGGTTGATTATTTAGAAAGTGTATCTACCTCTAAACTAATGGGACAATTTCTATCATGCTAGATAGAATTTCTGTAAATGATGAATGGTGGGATCTTGTTTTGTGTTTTCTGATTGAAAAGATTTTCCCTTAAAATAGAAACTATATAAAATCTCTCATAGGAGGTGAAAGTTTAAGATAAAAAAAAAGGTGTTTGATAATCTTATGCAAGTGAGATTTTAGTTTATATGTTTTTTATTAGAATATTTCTTCTCAAAATGTCTCTAGAACCATTAAAATGTCTTGGTTTGTAAAGTAATTTGTTTTATCCTTCTTAAGGTTTAGGTTCGAAAGGTTATAGAAAGAATCTTCACAAAATTAGATTTTTTTTACAAAGTTAATTTTCAGATTCGCTTAGTATTGCAAAGACCAATTGAATATTAACCATTTTTAAATTTAAAAATTTACAACCATAATGTATTCATTTTTCTTAATTTTTGTAAAGTGAAAAGTAAACAGAATATCAACAACTAAAATTGTCAGTCTTCACTTATTGGCTTAAAATTTTTTTTATGATAATATTATTAAACTTTATTATTTAAATACACTTTTAATTACTATATAACTTAATCTCTATATCTGGACATCATTTTGAATACCGCGTATTTAAATTGATCATATTTGATTGAAAATTCTATAATTTTATTCAAAGGCATTAATACGAATCTGATGCTTCAAAAAAACAGTAATTTGTGAGTAACTTGAATCCCATGCAAGAATAAAGAGATATTGACATACTTAAAGATCATATTTGCCAACAAAAGAATATATACATAAATATATATATATATAATATATATTTTTTATAATATTGTATAGACAAAAATTTACACTATAGTTACATATAATTCATATACAAATCTGATCTATTATCTGCTGAAAATAATAAAAAATAAAGCTGAGGTATAATATTAAAAAGCAGTAGAATGAAAAACATTGTATATATCAATGACCTGGGCCTTTTTCACTTGGCCCTGAAGACATGGTATGAACTTTACCATCAATCAAAACCCTGAAAACATCACTGTTGTTCTCTTTCATTACAGGTTCTTCAACAATGGCCTTTACTTTGGAGGGGTAGTCTCTACAATATACTGTGTTTGGCGTTGTAACAGCCAACAGAATGATAACTAGAGAAAGTACAATGGAAAGCCTCATTTTTGAGTTGGCTATAACCCTATTCCTCAAGTGCTGGAAGTTTTTATACCCAAAGTAAAGAACCTGTGGGGCTGAAAAAGATTACTTTGGCATCTTTTACATGCAACCCAAACCAATGGTTTTTACGTATATTAACGTAATGAACGGTGAAGGGTTTGTTTTGGTCTTGGGTGGGACCTATTAGGGTATATTTTCAATGTATGTATGAGATATTTTTGAGAAAAAAATCTATGAAAAATGTTTTTGATGGTTGAATTGTATTGCACTTTTGGTTTAGTTTATTTAGAATATGATGTTTGTAAAAGAAATTATTTTGATTTTTTTTTTGTTTTTATAAAAAGTGGTGCTAGTTGACAGAAACCTTTGACGGGTATATAAAATTGAGTCAAGAATATTTGTATATATATTGCTTGGGAATGGAACAAGGAGTATCAACCCTCCATGTTTTTTGTGCAAATGTTTGGGGTGGAAAATGAGGACCAGGTGCAAAAAGTGAAAGTAGAATCGATGGACATGCCATGCTAGAGGTGATTGCTCATTCCATTCCTCACATGTTTTCATATTACTAACTTTTTAAGAAAATGTTTGCTAGTACATATAAGTTGTTTTGAAATAAAGGATTTAAGTATTGTTTTAACAATGACGTGGACGATAAAGAATAATGACAATTTCACTAGATAATTTTAAGCTATAATTAATTTATCAATACACGTATGCAATTTGATAATAAATAATTATCTATTTTTGGAAATAGGGTTGTTCTCTGATTCGATATCGATATCAATTCACAGTCTTAACAAGAGAACATAAATAACTTATAAAAAATTAGTTTGACAAATTTATAGGAATATTTCATAATTTATATTAATTTGGACTCGGTCTCTTCAACCTCTCAATACATGAATCAATAAATTCTAAATTCTATAGTGTATGTAGTTTTTTTTTTCAAACTTTATATTGTAATCAAAGATCACCTAAATCCTTAGAGAAAAAAGTTTCAAGAAGTTTTCTCTTTGTCTCCATGATCTCTGTTTTATAGAAAACTTTCGTCATTTAAAGGAGGTAGAAAAATCTAATGACACATGATTTGAAGCGCGTACCTCATACATGTGTCACACACCTTGTATTTCATTGCCAATGTTCACCATATGAACCTCACACCTCACCTCAAACGCCTCATAGTTAAGGCATAATAAAATGCTCTCATTCACTTCACCCACATGCCTTATGGTCCTAGTTGGTCGCTTTAAGAGGTAAGGTAGTAGTCAAATAATGAAAAACTTATATTTTTTAAGGCATGCTCTATAACTTTCAACCCTCCTATAAAGGATGATGATTACGACAATTTATCCATCAACAACCCTACAGTTTTTTTTTAAATTGTAATTATTTTTTGACAAAATTGATAAAGTCTACGCAATACTTAAAAATTGACTTAGATATTGATTTGATGAACACATTTGTTAGACTGTCTTCTGAATAATCTTTCTTCATCACAATCTTCTTCTTGATCATGTCTCTAATAAAGTGAAAACATATGCCAATGTAATTTATCCACTCATGGTGAACTTGATGACTAGTCAAATAGATTTCAATTTTACTACCACACAGTATTTTCGCACACATGCTTGAGTGATTCCTAACTTCTCAATTATATCTCTTAACCAAATGAGTTTCTTGACTATTTCAACTAGGAAAATATACTTCTCTTGAGTTATAGATAAAGCAACCACATGTTCTTTATTTTATTTCCAACTTATAGTCGTTCCGAATAACATAAAAACAAAACTCGACATGAATTTTCTAGTGTCTACATTCTCCACATAGATTTCATCTAGAAAATCCTCCAAAGCTTCTTTCTCTTGAGATGACTTTCTGTACTTTCATTCACTCTTCAATGGACCATTCAAATACCTTAGTGCTGACTTCAAAGTTTCCTAAATAACTTAGCCTAGATTTTACATAAACTAACATACTATGCCAATGGCACATGTTAAGTCTGATGTATTACAAGCAATCTCATACATGATGCTTCTAATATCACCTTCATAAATAATAATATTAATCATTTTCATCTTATGTTGTTTTGAAGACATTGCATAAGTAAAAGTTTAATGCGATGATCCAATACAATGTTGGGAATTTTAGCATTAAGCATTCTAAACTACTCTACCATTTTTTTCAAGTAACTAGATTAAGATAAATGCAATTCACTTCTTTCACGACTTCTCATGATAACCATCCTTAGATCCTTTTAGCATCAATCACTTCTTTTACACTAGACTAAGCTCACAAACCAAATGGAAATTTTGACAGACAATCTCACGAACCATACGAGAGCTTTTATTTACTTAACTTACAAACCAAACAATAACTTCTCACAAAATATATTAAATAATAGACAAACGCCTCTTGAATTAATTACAATAATACTCCAACACTGGAATAAACAAAAATATCCTCAGTGATATTTTTCACTATCAAAGCACTAAGGAAATTCATTGAAAAAGAAAGAAATGAAAACAAAGAGAGTAAAGAATGAGAAAGTATTTAGAAATACATTTTATGTTGTGTTTTGAAAGTGGAGAGAAGCCCTTTATTGATGGGTGAAAACTCTAGCTTAAAAACAAAAGAGATTCATGGGACTTTAAATGTCATAATCGATTAAGTCACAAGGTTAATCAATTATGAGCTTTAAAATACACCAACCATAAATCTCAAAAAGGAAAACCTCCAACAACTAATGGCTTAATCGATTATGAGCATTCTTAATCAATTAAAAAGCTTTAAACATTACTGTAATTGATTAGTTAAAGGCTTTAATCATTTAGGTAGTGTATACAAGCTTCTTAAATGATTAGAAATATCCTTAATAAATTCCACAAACACTTTGATGTTTCTATATATGTACATTGACTTAGTAATTTAAGAATTACTCTAATATCTTTACAATACTCTGATCACTCAGACACAGACCAAGAGATGTTTCACACTTCCTCTCTTTCACAATCTTTGAAGCTTCAAGATCCCTTTCTTGATTCATTATTCATTCATCATTTCACCCTTACATATAATGATGTTTGATATGGCTTCTTGATAGACACAATCATCAGAGATTACTTGATAAAGATCGTCAGAGATTCCACTGAATGCTTCTTGACATTAGGTATTATCCTTAAGAGATTGGATTTAATATCTTAATCATCTTGATCATAACTTCAAATGAAGACTTCACATCATAGTTTTGTCATCACCAAAACCATTAAGATCATCTAACTATTGAAAACACTATACACGCAGGCACATTGATCCATATTCACCGCTTTTTTTAATAATGATTACACAATTCTCAAGTAGGTGGACAAATAGAGAGAAAATGATAACGGTTTGGAGTGGTTAAACTCTCCCTAACAAATATAGATTATACCCTACTCACCCTAAAAGTATATTTATCCTCATTTGGGAATTATCAAAAAGGCAAAAAAAACATAAACAAACAGAGAAACAGATCCAAACACATAGATCAAGAAATTTGAATAAGGAGGAAAATATATCATAGATTCAATTTCAAAAACAAATGATTTATCAATCAAAGGAGAATATGATTACAAAGGAAAAAATTAATGCAGAGAAAAAATAGAAACTAGCAACATACAAGAAAAACAATCATGCAGGCAAGTGAAGACTACTATGTGTCCTTATCAACATCACTGAATAACTCTGATGGTAGCAGCATGTGAGCGAGCTAATGCGCTAGAAATTTGATCTTCTTGTTGGCTTTTTTTTTGCTCTTTGATGCTAGATTAGAGGATAACTTTGGCCATAGAAGTCTGAGGGATTTCATAATTGAAATCCTCTAGAGTTGAAAGTCATACTTTCTATAATGCTTGTTATTATTCTAGCTAACTTTGAGAAACTCTTTTAACTTTGGGAGGCTTTTGAGACGACAATCCATTGTTGATCTTAACATGCCTCTATCTCATTGCAGTGTTTCCTATCCTTATAAAGTTTTCCAAGTATTCTTCATCCTTAACATTAAAGTCAATGTGCTCCAAAAATTTCATTATCAGGTGACCATATGGTAACCACATAATACCTTTTATTTATATCTTCATTATGTGATGGATCATTAAGTTAACTCCACTTTTCTAAATTTGTTATCATGTAACCAAGTTATAACAACATTAGCGTTTGACAACTATCGCAAGTTATTTTTTCTAGGGACGACAATGTGGTTCACCACATAGTGTATAAGATGAATGTTTGGGCGCACACTGCCCATAAGAAAATGAGAAGGAATACCATAATTTGAATCTACTAGGAACAAATGATAAGCATTAACAAAGAAATCTTCACCTTGATCTCATTAAGTATAGAGGGGACCAGATCAAGGAAGATTGTAGATATCAAAGAATTCTCCATCAGATAGAGATATCAGATGCTTTCAAACTTTTGATGTAATAATATCATCTATATATCTGATGTTGGTGAAGAACATCCCCACTAGATTCAGATAGGTCTCCCCTGGTGCTTCGCTGATGAAGCTTCTCAAGTTTGTTTCTTCAAATTTTTTTAAATAACTCGCAGTGTTTGAAAATATAAACATTAAAAAAGTAATATGTTAAAATTTATCTGGTAGCATACTCTCAGTTGAAAATTAAGATGGAGCAAAATATTTTCTTGATATAGAAAAATAAGATGGAGTAAAATATTTTCTTGATTTAGAAAAATACAACAACTAAAGAGCAAGAAGGATGTTCTTGGTACCATGATGGTGGATAAAGAACAAGAGTTCAACTCACATAAGATTACAAAAACACAACAACTGAAGAGCAAGAAGGAGAAGGAGAGAATACAAGATGGGATTGGATGAGGGGACAATGAAATATCTTATATGGGTAATGTTAACTTGTGCCCTTGGGGCACACGTTAAGGAAACCACTTTTAGTAAATTTGTATTGGAAAAAACAATTTAAAAATTAATTTTATACTTTAATTTA